AAATTACATTAATATATTTCGCTGATGAAAGTGATCAATTAGTAACACAACACCTACTAATTTACTAGAAAGTGTTGTCATTTCTCTTTCTATGGGATTATATTTAAATTGTCCTGGGGCATTTATCCTTATAGTTAGGTAATCCAAATTGAACTTTCGAAAAAGCAAACAATATGACTTAATGTTCTTTAAGTGTCTTGGGTTCTCATCCATCCACTAATAATATCCAAATCGGTTGAATCTCTCTATCAGTTTTTAACACAGTATCATATTGGAATTTAAAGTGAGACTTTCAAGATCTTTAATATGTATAAATGAGGATATACCAAGAGACCATTGGCAGTATACAAAAATAGCAAGTTGTCTTGTCCGTAGTTCATTATTTGATTCATTTGAGTTAATTATAAGGTATACTAATAGAATTAATTTTTGTTCAAATCCTATATAAAAATCATAATCTGGTATACAAATTGGATCATTGATTAATTGCAATCTATAAAATATTCAACTTATAGCAGGCATACCAAGACCTATTTTTGCTTTATCATCCTGAGAGATGATTATTGACATATCAGCAAAAAAAGATACAAATTGTTTTGCATATTTGATAGATACAAAACAATAGTGTGTGTCAGAATGTTCATGTGTTTTAGTGCGTAAAACACTAGCAACAGAGACCCATGCTGGGTGATAGTGTGCTTTTGTGGCAATGGAACTAGACTGGTGAGGTAATAAGTAATTATTTAATGTTGTTTGTACTATATAGACACCATAATTTTCTTCAAGATTTTTATATAAGTTTTCTATTATTCTCACTTTAACTATTTCTTTTTACTGTTTTTCATCAGCTAATCCATTTTCAACTAATTCATGAATATAGTTATACAGGTATAGATGTTCAAAAAGAAGTGATAAATGATCTTGCCAATTATATTTGATTACTTCCCAATTTTTGATAAGTATTTTTTTTTTTTTTTTTTTTTACAGTTTTGAGCATACTTTGCATTTCTTTTTAATTTAAAAATTCTATCTTTATTAGCTTTTACTTGTGTTTAAAGCTCTTCTATTTTTGCATATATTTCATATTGAAACTGAGAATCTGTTGTAATGTTATACATTTGCTTAAGTTCTAAAAGTTTTTTTCAGCTATTTCGATTTCATTTGCTGCACTTTTTTGTGCTGCTGCATTTACTGGGATTTCAGATATAGGTTCTATTAAATTAATAGTAGGAAGAAAAGGCGTTGAGCTTTCTTCAAGCACAAAATATCTTGATTTTATTATTTGTATATTATATAGATTGAATAGTGTAGTCAAATATTTTTTAATTATATTATTGA